TTCTTTGAAGATCCAGGACGAATCTGAAAATCAGAATCATCTTCATCAGATAGTTCATGTTTCTTACTTACAGTTTTGACCTTAACCCTCAGGTTCACTTTTGGTTGTTTAATAACTGTTTTTTTAGATTTCTTTGTGCGTGTTTGTAACACCTCCTTGGCGTTTTCTTTCTTGGAAGATGACTGTATCTTCCTTGAGCTCTCTAAAGTATATTTTTTACCTAAAATTTTCATTAGAAATATAGTGTTAGTAAAAATAAACATAATAGATATAATCAAATGCAAAAAAGGAAACATAATCACTTATGACTGCAAAAAACATGCCCTTATCATTTTTAACCTTTGAATTTTTAAGTGAAATATCTTCAACTTCATTCTCATCAACATAAGCATTTACTACAAAAAAATTAACATAATTAGTAATTAGTACTAAACAAAAATGCATATGACTAATAAACTATGATTTCAAATCACACAGTCACTAATGATTATAAAAATATACATTTATCATTAGTATTTACTAATTATTATAAATAAAATGTATAAAATCATTTATTATTATAACTAAAAATAAACATACAACCAAATCTAATGTTCAATAAACTGAAAAAAATCCAAAATCAATTATGATTACAAAAAATACCTTTAAAATTTCCTCTCTTCGAAATTTTCTCTTTAACTTCTCCAAAAAGATCTTCATATTGACGTTTGATACATAAAATTACATAAACACAAAATATGATGATCAATTATGAATAAAAAAACTAAACTATGATTTTAAATCACAAAATCACTAATGATTATAAACACATACATTTATCATTACTATTTACTAATGATTATAAACAAACGTATAAAATCACTTATGATTAGAACTAGATATAAATCTATAACTAAATGTTATATTCAATCCACTGAAAAAAATAACAAAATAAGTTATGATTACAACAAAAACCTTTAACATTAAGTTATATTTTTATTTCCAGTTCTAATCATAGATGATTTTATACGTTTTTTTAACATCGATTTTTTGAACTGTACCTTTGGAAATAACAACACTTCTACCGCCTTCGATATTTTTTTGATTTTTGAACTTCTTTTGAACATAGTTTCTTTTGAAATCCTTATATGTGAAAATATAAACAACTTACATAAAAAACCAACACAAACTAAAATCATCAAAAAACAGATCAACTCTAAACGAGAAAATAATCAAAATCAAATAAAAAAGACGAAAAACTACTGAATCAAAACAAACAACATCATTATCAACATAAAACTGCAGTTATTAATAAAATGAAAAATCACTTGCATTCTAACCTTTCATTTCCATTAATGAAGATGCGACTTCGTTTATTTTCTCCTGAATACATTTACCGATTTTACAAACTTAAATTGAATAGCTAATAAACAAAAACTATGGCAAAATGCGACAAAGAAAGAAAAAAAGGGTTTTCATGAGAGTTCCAATTGAAATTTTGATCGAGAAAGAAAGGAATGATATAGGCAGTTACAGTATCGTAGTCTGCAAACTGATATGAATCTTTGTAAAATTACAACAATAGCCCTACAATCGTTATTACTGGCGTTAATTTAATATGTTATCAATCTATTTACAGTTATGGCACCGCCACATTTTAGAAACAAAAAACATAACATCCAAGGGTTATCCACCTATCTCACAATCTCTAATTTTTTATTTATCTCAAAGGAACCAATATATATATATATATATATATATATATATATATATATATATATATATATATATATATAATAGTGTTAAAGTTTATGTACTATCTTTATCAAATTATACATATATAAAAGGCATATTAATATATTTTTATTGATGCAAATACTCATTATATTACAATATTGCAAACTTACAAAATTAGTTAAAAACAAATACATTAGCAAACTAACACGAAAGTAAAACAAAAATAAAACACAAAATTACATGAGAAATTAAATAAAAAATTAAAAGAACGATGAAGCATTATGAAATATTATGTGGTTCATGTTGAATTATAAGTAATTAGTATTAGAACTCATATGGAGATAGGGTCGACAAGAAGTGACTTGATATGACTTATGAGCTCTTCTCCAACATGTGTGAAATGGTCCTTATTCTTGTATAGGACATCCATTACACGTGCTATGTTCATAACTCGTCTTTTTATTGGCATTTTAACATCTTTACATGTAATGGACTCTTTATTCATTTCTTTCCAAGCATCTTCAATCATCTCAATGAAAAAACCTTGTGAATGTTCCTTATCGACATCGAATTCCTTCATATAGCATTCGATGACAGAGGCAACATGCTTTCTTTCTTGTTCCTCCTGCATTTTTTTTCTTAAAATTAGCACCAGTTACATAACACATTATCCATGATCATTTAGTGAATAATACATTAGCTTCTAGGACGGAAAGGATTATTAATATGGGTTGTTTTGAAGTTACATATACATCCGTTTCTAGCATCACAAAATTCATAGTTGGTTGTACCTTGTGGGTGACAATATCATCCATCACCCTGCCTAACCCAAAACTAGCTTTGACAATAGGAGGATAGCTGAAAAGCCAATGGAATAGCTCATCCGTTATTACATTACCCTCAGCAGCAAAACTTGTAACAAGAAGAACGTTAAATGCGGTGCTGATATATGTAACATCTCTGTGTTCCTCCACTGTTGGAGTATAGTTTTCATGGTTCCATTTTGCTTCAATCATGTAGCTTCTAATGTATTCTTTGATCTGCTCAGTCACTTACCGCAAATCAATATGTTTAAAAAAAAGTCCAATAAAATAGGATTAATATTATTCTAAAAGTTCATTCTCCATATCATCCAAATTTAAAACACAACAAAAAAAGAACAAGTATTTTTAACGACAAAAAGATATGGGTACCATCATAAGCTAAAGTCGAGGAGCCATATTCGTTTTAGTTTTGTGAAAAATCACAATTACAAAGATGAAAATATGTTAGAAACTTACCGTGTCTTTGACATAATTAAGTTGATGGAGTTTTCCCATTCTTGCCAAGAATTCCCCCATTTCTTCATGAAGATCCATGAGCATTTGGTATAGAAGTTTCATGTATTCGGGAAGGTCTTCCACACATGTATTTGACCACCTATAAAATTCATTAAGAACTAAATGTAACTCGGTTTAACACTACAAGATCAATCCACATCTACAAATGACAACTTGTCAGTATAGGCTTTACCGACGACTTTTCATTGGCAAAGGGTTATAAAATTTCGCCGGGTATTATCCTTGTAGTGTATAAACGTTAACATATATGTTCTTTTAAATACCTCTGAACAGCTTCTGTAAAGATCACAAGTTATTCATAGGTACCGTAAGCATCATAGGTATCATCTATAAGTGTTGCTAAGGCAAGAACTCTAGCTATCCACGTTCTACCTACAGAATATTGAGGCTCACTATGGGTCCCTAATGCCCATAAGTAGCATTCAACCAATCTATCTCTTGCATATGGTACATTGGTTGGGATATCAAAGCGTTTCCACCACCTAGAGTAGTTTAATACATACATATTAGTATATATGAGAGATACTTTGGATCCATAATGTGTATACTCCTTATTTTAAGATATAACAAAATTATCCTATTAAATGAAAGGAGGGGTTATATATGTGTACTTGGATATTTGGCAAATCTCCTTTTTATGGAGAGATTGGAGCAGGTTATACCCTAACTTGGCAAGTTTTAGTAACGAGTGATTATGAAAGATTTGGCGTTCGTAGAAAGGTATGTAACGTATTGCCTCGAGTCTTGGCAACCTTTTATGTAAAGGTTGCTTTAGTGCCTCATGTATTTCAGTTGAAACAATTGGGTCGCTCAAAAGATGATTCTTTGCCATCTCAGCAAGACATGTTTTTGAAAAATCACGAGCATCGTCTAGTATGACCTCACTGGGCATGCTCAGAAACGTTGCCTCATACAAATCAAGTAAACCTTGAAGATCATTTTTTAATGACTCATTAAAACATCCCTCTTTCTCCTTGTATGTCTTGAAAGTTTCTGTTTCAGTCATACAAGTTGACTTCGTTAGTTCCTCGTGAAACTAATATGATTGATTGATTAATTAATACAAATTGCATGCATTACTAACCACTTGAGACGAAAAAGCCTTGTTGTCGCATGAGTCGAAACCACAAGGAAGTACCCACACCATTCCAGTTATGTTCACCATATGCATCAAAGAATTGTTGCAAGGCTTGACTAATCTCTTTTTCAAAATAATATGCAATTCCAAGGCGTTGGATAGTATCAACCAGCTTTAACAAATTCAAATGTTCTGTCGGTTCATTCAAACTTGCCGATATTTGTTTCTTCACTTCCTCTTTCAAGACATCAACCTCTTTTTCTATCCCTTCATCATATTCTTGCTTCATTTACAAATGAGACGCTATTAAGTTTGTTGAAATTATATATATATATATATATATATATATATATATATATATATATATATATATATATATATATACACACACACACACACACACACACACACACACACACACACACACACACACACACACACACACACACACACACACACGATTTGGATACTATAAGAATCTAAAAGTTGTTGAAAGCACAAATACTATACTCCACCAATAATTTCGTCAAGGGCACAAACGTCAAACTCATTTATTGGTCGTAACGCGTTCTCACGGGACGCACTTGCATGAAACGTAATACAGACTCAAGAGAATAATCATACGCGACGAACATCCATGAAACGTCATTTAAATGAGATTTCCTTTTTGTTTTCATTTATTTGTGTTTTGTTTGTTTCCTTTTCATTTCATTTATTTGTTTCTAAGTGGATATATGCTCAGTTTTAATGTTTTTACATTTTTTTTGTTTTTTTTCCCATTTTTTTATAATATTTCTCATTTGTTAAAAAAAATTACTTTTTTTTTCTTTTTTTCATTTTTTAAGTATATTTATCACATACTTTTTTTTTGAAAAGAATATATTTATCACATACTTGAAGATAGTCGGAATTGATTTTTAAACTAAATATCGGTTTTACTTTTTGATGTTTAACAATTGTAAATATTTAAATAAGAAAATGTTAACGCTCATAATATTTTTCATTAACATATTTTTTGAATCACATTATTTTTGGATCATATAGTTTTGAATCATAACAATGTTATGTATCACGCATTTGGATCATTTTAATTTAGATAATAATATATTGAATTAAATAATGTTTTTGTTAAATGTAATATTTGGATCATTATAATTTTTTAATCATTTAATTTTGAATCACAACAAATATAATAATTAAGTATAATTAAATATTTGAATCAAATTATTTTTAGATCATAATAAGTTAAGGATCATAAACATCATAAATCATAATATTTTTCACTACTAGAAAAATGGTGTTTTCCTACGGAAAATAGCTACGGAAAATTCCGTAGCTAATTAGCTACGGAACGGCTGCGGATTAGCTACAAAATGGGACGCCCTAATTTAGTAACGAAATAGCTACGGAATAACTACGTACGCTTGTCCGTAGTTATTATGTAGCTAATTAGTTACGAAATGGCTAAGGAATAGTTACGGATTCTAATCCACAGCCATTTTGTAGCTAATTAGCTACAAAATAGTTACAGATGCTAATTCGTAGCTATTCCGTAGGTAGTTTGCTACAAAATGGCTACGAAATAACTACAGATACAAGATTTAACCATTAAATCTTGAAGATGCACACGACTTTATGAACGTTATTAATAACTATAAGTTATTGAAAATAAAGATAATCATGTGTACTAGAGGTGGGAAAAAAATGAAGAGAAAAAAATGATGTTTAATCCCCGAAAAATCGAAAATAGGAAAAATCCGTAGCTAATTAGTTACGGATTTTCCTTATTTTCGATTTTCCAGACACCAAACGTCGTTTTTTTCGCTTCGTTTTTTTACCCCTCTATTATACATGATCATCTATATTTTTACCAACTTATAGCCATTAATATCATTCATAAAGTCGTGTGTACTATCTGGATCAAGTATTCGTTTCACAGTTTAACAATGTAATCACTATACTTTTCACCATCTTGTGATGGGTTTAATTTTGTATATGTATATTTACATACATGAATGAGTTGTGGTATATGAGTACGCGTATGTGTGTATATGTACGTGTTTGTGAGTATTTTATATGTGAATGTAGATCCTAAGAGTGTTAAATCATTAAAAGAGTAATGGATCTCGTATGTGCACATGACTTTATGAATGATATTAATAACTATAAGTTTGTGAAAATATAGATAATCATGTGTAATTGAGGTGTGAATAAAACGAAGCGGAAAAAATATCGTTTGGTGGCCCAAAAATCGAAAATAAGAATTATCCGTAGCTAATTAGCCACGGATTTGCTATGGAATTCTAACAGAAAGCATATTCCGTAGCTAATATGTAGGTAATTAGCTACGGATTAGCTACAGAATATGATTTCCGTTAAAATTTCGTAGCTAATACGTAGCTAATTAGATTCGGATTAGCTACATATTTTTCTAATTTTCGATATTTCGGGCACCAAACGTCGATTTAGCTCATTTCGGGCACCTAATTATTCATTTTACATAGAACTCATTTCTCTCTCTCTCTCTCTCTCTCTCTCTCTCTCTCTCTTTTTATATATATATATATATATATATATATATATATATATATATATATATATATATATATATATATATATGTTTGTGCCCTTGACGAAATGATTGGTGGAGTATAGTATTTGTGCTTTCAATAACTTTTAGGTTTTTACATATCCAAATCGTATGTGTATATATATATATATATATATATATATATATATATATATATATATATATATATATATATATATATATATATATATATAGATATAGATATAGACACGATTTGGATACTGTAAGAACCTAAAAGTTACTGAAAGCACAAAAACTATACTCCACCAATCATTTCGTCAAGGGTACAAACGTCAAACTTATTTACTTGGTCGTGACGCGTTCTCACGGGACGCACTTGCATGAAACGTAATATAGACTCAAGAGAATAATCATACGTGACGAACATCCATGAAATGTCATTTAAGTAAGATTTTCTTTTTGTTTTCATTTATTTGTTTTTTTTTTTGTTTCATATTATTTTTTTATTATTTTTCGTTAATAAAAATTAAATATTTTTTTAAATGGATATATGCTTAGTTTTAATGTTTTCACATTTTTTTTGTTTTTTTTTTCATTTTTTATATTTTTTTTCATTTGTTAAAAAAATTACATTTTTTTTTTCATTTTTTTAAGTATCTTTATTATATACTTGAAGATAGTCGGAATTGATTTTTTAAACTAAATATCGGTTTTACTTTTTGACGTTTAACAATTGTAAATATTTAAATAAGAAAATATTAACGCTCATAATATTTTTCATTAAGATATTTTTTGAATCACATTATTTATGGATCATATAGTTTTGAATCATAACAATTTTATGTATCACACATTTTTGGATCATTGTAATTTAGATAATAATATATTGAATTAAATAAAGTTTTTGTTAAATATAATATTTGGATCATTATAATTTTTTGATCATTTAATTTTGAATCATAACAAATATAATAATTAAGGATCATTATATATTTGAATTAAAATATTTTTAGATTATAATAAGTTAAGGATCATAAACATCTTAAATCATAATATTTTGAATAATAAATATTTTAAATCATATCTGGGTGCATCGTATTATTTTCAATATTTTTTTAAAAAAACATCTAATTTTTCATAATCAAGTTTGGTATTTAAAATACCTTATTTTTTAAAAAATATTTTTGGATAAATGATACAAAAAACACTATTTTTACACAGAAATTCGATTTTGACACCGTGTTTTTTTATGTCAATTTTGACATTGTGTTTTCCAGTTTATTACAATTTTGACCACTTAACTGGTTAACCAGGTTACATGCTGAGGTGGCATGATGACGTGTCAGTTTTGATGATGTGGCATGCTGACATGATATGCTAACGTGTCAAATTTGATTTTTTTCCACAAAAACACTAAGTTTTTACTTTTTTTCGATTTTAACACTAAGTTTAATTTTTTATTTCAATTTTGACTCTATGTTTTTTTTGTTCTAATCGAACATCATTTATCAAATTTTTTTCAATTTTGTTTCTTTTCCATTTGAAACCGTATAAGTATATTTTTTTTATTACATTTTAAACCGTATAAACATATTTTTTTCGTTTAAAAACCACATTTTTATTTAAATACAAGATGTTTTTTTTCTTACATTCAAAGCATTAGTTATATCATCAGAATCAAACTAACCATAAACTTCTAATAAGATGTAAAAATTTGATGGGTTGCAAACTTGATATCTGAGTTTTGATCGACTACACGCCTCCAAACCTCCAAACACATTTTAAAATTGCATATTTAATATAAAATACAATTTTTATATAACTAATACATATTTATATATAAAAATATGGTTTGAGTGTAAAAAAATGTATTTATACAAAACTATGGTTTTTAACTGAAAAAAAAACATATTTATACGGTTTAAATGTATTAAAAAATATTTATACGGTTTCAAATAGAAAATTGTCAGCAATGAACAAAATTAAAAAAAATGATGTTCGATTTGGAACAAAAATACATAGTGTCATTGTTGAAAGAAAAAATTAAACTTAGTGTCAAAATAAAAAAAAAAAATGAAAACGTAGTGTTTTTGTGAGAAAAAAATTTAATTTTGACACGTTAGCATAAAATGTCGGCATGCCACGTCATCAAAATTGACAGGTTATCATGCCACGTCAGCATGTAACCTAGTTAACCGGTCAAGTGGTCAGAATTGTAACAAATTGGAAAACACAGTATCAAAAATGACACAAAAAATAACACGGTGTCAAAATCGAATTTCTGTGTAAAAATAGTGTTTTTTGTATCATTTACCCAATATTTTTTGCAGATATCATTTAGATTTGTTTTTAGAGGCATGCAAATGTTGTTTTCATAATGATTAGTAATAGTTTGCATACCTGTTCACATGCCAAAAACTCATCACCCCAAATGCTCGGCAGAAAATTTACGGTGGGTCGACTAATATCCTTTTGTTCATCTGACATGTTGTATGAATGATTTGGTTCAATGTGAACAAGTTGCTTTAATTTGATGTTAAGAGAAAGGTATATATAAAAGTCGAGAAATGCATCCTTATCCTATTTTGTGTGTTCAAACTTAAAAGAGACTTGAAAATATAAAATTAATGTGGCACATATTGCATGATGGTTAAACATAGTACATGACAATCAACCAATAAATAGTATATATAAAAGTTAATAAATGCATCCTTATCTTATTTTGTGTGTTCAAACTTAAAAGGGGCTTGAAAATATAAAATTAATGTGGCACATATTGCATGATGGTTAAACATAGTACATGACAATCAACCAATAAATAGTATATATAAAAGTCAATAAATGCATCCTTATCCTATTTTGTGTGTTCAAACTTAAAAGAGCTTGAAAATATAAAATTAATGTGGCACATAATGGTTAAACATAGTATATAACAATCAACCAATAAATAATAATACAACTTTTTGCAGCAAAAGATGCCAAAAACCAAGAAAAATAATATATTTATTAGTTTATAGTTTAATCTGATTTTTTATTTTTTAAATAATCAAATTTATTTTGTCCAAATTAAAGAAACATCATTATTTCTTTTTCGGTAGAAAATAAGATTACCGTATCAATTAGATAATCGTATAAAATTAGATAATCCAGGTTTTCTGTTTAAAAAATAAATATTGAGATTAAACCGTAAATTGGTCAAAAATATTGGGATTTTATCGGAAATTTCCCATTAATAAATTGATATATTAGTTTGATATTTTTTATATTTTTTCTTAATTAACGGTCAATTTAGTTTTGTCTACATGAAATTCATAATGAATTTCAAAATCAACCAAATTAAGTTCATTTACGTCCGTTTGGTAAAGGGTTAAAGATGAAATCTGGTACTAAATTATCATATATTTATGCTTAATTAGTAATAAAACTTTGGTTAAGTTGACATTGAACTTTTACTTTTTACATCTATCTAAGATCGTTTATATAATATTTTTGCAATAACAACTTCAAAACAATCTGAAAGCATAGGGATGAAATAAACAATACAAATCTTTTAGGAGCATATTTAAAAAAAAAATAAAATTATATAAGCAAACAGATGATTTCTGTAATTTATCCTTTTATTAATTTACAATGGAACTTCAACTTATTTACCAAAAATTCATCTTATCGTCTAAACCTTTGATTTAAAAAGCTGGATGCTCTAAAATTGGTTATTTCGTTCTATGGATTCTATTTTGTTTTATATTGTTTGCTATATGAAAAATTAAATATATTCTACCCTTTTATCCATACCATTATTTCTACTAATATAAAATATAAAATAGTAATATAAAATAATACCATGTGAAATTGTTAGTCGTCTCTTAATGTATTTTTTTTAGACTTGTATTGAACTAATTATTTGTTTATATATATATATATGACCGTGCTAAGCACAACCCATGTAGATTTCTTTAATAAATTCTAAAAACAAAATGAAAGTTCAACGCTATAATAGATAATTAAATAAAAGTACATTGCTTTTTCTAGCATTTCCCACTAATTACAACAGACTTATTTCTCAAAAATACACAAAGAAATTAAAATACATAGGTCCTTGCCAGGATTGTCGTATGTAATTCTTTTGAAACACACAAATAGGTACATAAAAAAAAGAAACAAAAAATGTCAAATTGCAGAAAAGTGCAACCTATTTTCTTCCGGTTACCAAAATGTGTAAGGTACTTTAGGTAAGAGTCTATTAGCACTTCATTTGATCTTTAATCCCAAATTTCTGTAACGCCTGTGTTTCCAGGCTTGCCATTTTTATCAATGTAATGGTCTAGGTTAACCTTTGTAACCCGTTTTGAAATAATATAAGTGTATTATTTGAGTATTATGTGTTTTGTGCTTAATTGCTTAATTATGTGGTTTGATTAATTAAGAATAAAAATAAGCGTCAAAATTTAAGTGTAAAATAAACTTGATATCTTTAGATAATGTTGTAGTAGTTGAAACAAGGTTTCCGGAGATATAAAGAATGCCGAAATCCGAGTTATAACGAGGAAGTTATGACCTGTCGAAGTTTCGCGACAGAACCGGCAACGTTGAATAACGTAAAAAGTGAAATTTACGTTAAAGCGATATTTAGCCTTAGTGGTCTAAACAAGAATCGAAGATCTCGTTGTTAGTATCAAAACGATAAAAAGTTAGGCGAGAACAGACGTCAAACGAAGAAGTTATGAATTTATAACGAAATTTTCTGTCCCGGCCTATTAAAAATAAATAATAAAAATAAAGTCAAAATCAGCCGACGGAATCTAAACGAAAGTTGTAGAGCGTAGTCTCACCTTTCCGTGGATATAAAGAACGTCGAAAACGGAGTTCGTATGAAGAAGATATGAATTTCCGAAGTTTGATAAATAATTTGTATTTATTTTTAAATCAAAAATCCGGCATTATCCGAAGGGGGAGTCACGGATCTGATCTGAGGTACGCGCCGCGTACTCGAGTACGCCCCGCGTACAGCCAAAGTATCGACACTTCGGATGACACATGCAATGACGTATTTCGGAAGCAGTACGCGCTGCGTACTGCTGTACACCCCGCGTAAATGAGGCTCCCAGCCTTCTATAAATAGGATGCGAGGGCAGCCGGCCAAATTGCTAATTTCCTCTCGTTTTTGTGCCGAAGCTCTGCGTTTTTACCCCCGAAGCCATCCCGAAGCCCCGGTAATATTCCCGAGTCCCGAAGCGAGTCCCGAGATCCCGAAGATCCCGAGAAGTGCGGTTTCCGAGCCGAAGCTCTGCTCGCGAGAAGTTCGATTTTCGTAGAGATCTTCCAGATCTGCGGAGGATTATTACTTTTGCGAGTCGTAGTGCTGTCCGATCATCTTCTGATCAAGTGAGTGTATACTACCTTTCATAAACGCAATAATAATACAAGTATGGTTTGAGTGTATTAAGTTTATCGTCGTTTATACGTGCGAAGGTGTTGTTACTTTCTCATAACGTATAACTATAAAGTATTTTATACGAGATAGGTGTTATGTGTATATTTTGTTGTTATGTGTGTGAATGTATATTCACTTTCTTCTATCTTACAGATATGATTATTTCTATATGAAATATGTGTTATGTGTGTGTGCCTCATCTGTTATATGGAAAATGTATTGATCAAGCATGCTATACAGGTTTTGAAAATATGTATAAAAATGTATGTTTTTATCTACTAATATGTTGGGTAGAACATGGGTAGATAGTTGGTGTGTAATAAACAGATGAGAGGCCTCGTTGTTGTTTTGATCCAGTCATCTAGCGGAATTTAGATGACGACCACGGACTTTTCTAGATAGTCCAGTGGAACGCTATCAGGCTCATAACATGTAGGTGTTAATGAACTTGGGTGTTCATTCGCTTTATTCCATCCCCCTCATGGTTGCCTTATTTGACTTATATTGCTGAGGAACCCCCGCAGCATGTGTTGTCACCCCGATGAAAATATTCTTAGATTAGGTCCCTTGTGTTAGTTATTTTAGGGATGTAAAGTGAGAATAACGAGAATGGGTAACTGGGTTATTGTTGGTTGAAAATAATTAATTTAATTATTTATTGTGGGTTGAAAACCCTATATGCTCACCAGGCTCCCAAGCCTGACCCACTCAGTTTTATTTGTATTACAGGAAGTGGCGCAAGGGCGTAAGATGGATGAACCATCAAGTTGTTTTGTTTACAAGTCTGCATATGTTTATATTTGTTATATGACTTGTAATGTATTCGTTTATGCTTATTGGTCTGTATCGGAACATGACACCCCGAGTTTTGATTATAATGAAAATACATTTCTTTTATGAAATGCTTCGGTAAACATTGTTTTATCATGTTTTGTTTTTGGGAACAAATTCCACAACTCTTTCAAATCAAAAGGATTTACTCTGAAAATATTTAAAAGCATAAATAAAAATGTCACAGTTGGTATCAGAGCATTAGTTTAAGCGAACTAGGAATTTTTAGGATTTCTAGACTTAAACTTAGAATGCTAAGTGGAATTTTGAGATGTGTGTCTGTTATGTTTTAGACACGAGCACTAGTTTATTTTAGGAATGTTGCCTAAAATGCTTTATGTGCTAAATGTTGTATGTTGCCATATATGATATTATTTGTTCGGATCTATGGTCTGTTGCCGACCGGATCTAGAAACTTTATGTGTGTAGGATTCTAAGCGTACGTCTACGATATTAGAACTAGCATGTAAAAGTTTCGGAGTGATAAGGATGATTTGAATATCTATCGTGAATAAGGATTTAATTTCACCTTATTCGGTGTGTAGATCAAAATGGTGAGAACAAGAAGTGGAGTTGGAAATGCTGATGAAAACAGGAATCAACCACCAATGATTGAACAAAGACCTGTTGTAGCAGCAGCACCTGAGCCAATAACCATGGCTGGTGTGCAATTGATGATTCAGACGATGTTGGATCGTCAGATGGATGAAACTAGACGGTTGCTTCAACAAAATCGTGAAGAACTGTCGATTCGTGTGGAAGAGCCTGAACTGAATGAAGGGCACTCGGAAGGTGGAAACTTTAGTGGGTCTGTTGGTCAAGCCAACCCACCGATAGTTAGACAAGACAACCGTGATGGAAGGAATGATGGAATGGGATGCAAGTACAAGGACTTTTTGACTTGCAAACCATCGACCTTCAATGGAAAGGAGGATCCGATTGGGGTTATGGATTGGATCTCCGAAATGGAGCTAGCCTTCATGACGTGTGGCTGCAGAGGTAAGTTGCAAACTATCTATGCCGTGCGTCAATTTTCGAGGTGGAGCCGTACGTTGGTGGAACACTCTAGGGAAAACTTTGAGCCCAAATGAGCCACTGCAATTTTCATGGGCAGAATTCTTGGTGCAGTTCAAGCGCAAGTTCTGTTCGGCTCAAAATCTATTGGAGCTAGAGAACAAGTTTCTGACTCTAACGAAAGGCAGCATGTCAGTTGATGAATACACTAACAACTTCACCGATAAGATGGAGTTTGCCTTGCGTATCGTTCCAGACGAGCTGACAAAGGTGGATCGGTATGCGAAGGGACTTCCATGGGAGTACGAGGTGCCAGTACGCCAGGCACTTACTCTAGAGGCAGCTATCTGGGCTGCCAAGTCTGTTGA